ATAAAAAAACAACAGAAGTCGATGTGATGTCCCCATTCCGATCGCAATGCAAACGTGTGTTTAAGCTCAAGCAAATACGGATGAAACCTGCTGCAGTTCAGCTGGAATGTGTGATTATGTGATTCCAGATCTGCTCAGACTTGCTGAATATATTTACTAAATATGAAAGTATGCTGCCGTCTGTGTCTCTGAGGGTCTAAAACACACATTTGTGTTTCACACCCCACGGACACATGATGCTGGAGGCTCTCTGGAGAGATTTCAGACAAGCACTTCATGTTTCGGATTTAAGGCAAGACACTACAGGCCAAACTTGTGTTTTTATGTACTGGTCAATTTTGAGATTCTGGGGTATTTTGCTTCAGTGGACAGAAAACATCCAAAACACACATTTAAGTGTTTATTTTATTGTATTTTATCTATTTGCGTCTGTAGATTTCAATTACACTACATACCTTTAAAGAGATTTTCCTCCACTTCTGCTGCAGTTATAAACACCAAAATTTACAGATTTATTCCTGTCTATATTCTGAAGGATTTTACTGAAGGGTTTGTTCATATATCACTCACACTTATTTTTATCATATTTTATTCCTTAAAACTTTTTCAGACTGTTGACAGTATTTTCTGATTTAAGGCAAAACTCTAAGCCATTGTTTTTCATGCACTGGTCAATTTTGAGTTTATTGAATATTTTGCTTTGCTTTTGTCTCCTTTCAGATTAGTGGAAGAAAACATCCAAAATAAACATTTACGTGTTTATTTTATTACACTTGCTTTAAGCGTCTGTAGATTTTAATTACGCTACATATCTTTAAAGAGTTTTTCCTCCACTTCTGCTGCAGTTATAAACACCAAAATTTACAGATTTATTCCTGTCTATATTCTGAAGGATTTTACTGAAGGGTTTGTTCATATTTCACTCACACTTATTTATATAGCATTTTATTCCTTAATTTATTTTATTTATTTTTCTGTTGTGAGTATTTTATGATTTATGGAGTGATAAAATATATATTCAAAACCCCCTCTGTAAAAACTGTTAACTCTAATATGTCAACAAAATTAATAAAACTTGTTCTAATGTTCAGATTTATATAAGTAAATATGTGCGTATTTAATTTGATTGCACATTTAACATTCCAGAAAACTGACGACTTTAATAACCACATGAAACGTTGTTGGTGTGTATAAAAAGCTGTAGTGTGAAATGGCCTTAACTTGTGTGAGTTGTTCATCAGGAGCCGGTGCCACTGAAACAGGTCGAGGAACTGGAGGCAGAAGCGTTGAAGGAATATCAAGAGTTTCTGGCTCTGGAGAAGACCGTTCTGAAGAACATGGGCCTCCTGACCCAAACGATGGACCTGTGACACATTAGAGACATCATCATCATCATCACCACAATCACGCTCAGGAGAAAAGCACAAGAACCTACAAATTACAGGTGTTCTAATTACAAGATTTAACACTGGTGTAATTAGTTAAGTTCTTTGAAAAATAAAACTCATCTAGTTTGTCATTCTGACTGACAATGTAAATCATTCAGTGTTATTCAGCGTAAACTTGCTTTTCAAAGAATCTTAACAGAATGCTAATGGAACAACATTCCAAATCTAATAATAATTTAAAATGCATTCTAAAGAATCAAATAAGAATCAGATTAGGTCAGAAATTCTGATTGGTTCCCAAATATTAGCAAAGCATTAGAATCCTTACTATAGCTAAAACAACTTGTGTATTAAGAGTTTTGTGAATGTAAAACTTCAGAAGGACAGATGGTGTGTTTTGTCCTTGTGAGTCGTAAGCGCAGTGACCTTGAAGATTGATTCTTCCTTCGGTTACTCGCCTGAGTTCATCTTTATTCTCCGTCAGCGCTGTAATCAAACCCGCTCTTAATCATCTGACAGATCCTACAGAACCGCTTATCTGGTTACATGCGCACATTCAGGCACTTAATGTCCAGTATTGATCAGCTTCAGCCCGACTCGAATCGATTCAGTACAGACTCTAAACTTCCTTCTCAAGAACAATCAATACACATGTAATGCAGGTTCAGTGACTTTCATAGAAGTGCATCTCGACTTTATCAAATGCATTTCTATAGGGTCACTTGTAAGGTTTTGGCGGCCCTAAAGTAATTGATTAATGTAGAATTTCACACTGTATACCTTTTTATTTACCATTTAAAACACTATGAAACGCCCTATCTCACGACCAATTCGTACGAATTTGTACGAATGATTAAAAAGTGACTAATTCATACGACCTCACTTGTACGATTTGTCTAAATCCACGTGATGGTTGGGTTTAGGGGCGGGGTCAGGGGTAGGTCATTCGTACGAATTCATACGAATTGGCCAATTCGTAAAATATGTACGATTTTGCACAAATCGTACTAATTCATACGAGTGAGGTTGTATGAATTGTTACGAATCGGCCACCTCGTAAAATTCGTACGAATTCCTGAATTCACTTGTTGTTCACAAGTTTGGGATCGGTAAGATTTTTAATTCTTTTAAAAGAAGTCTTTTTGCTCACCAAGGCTGCATTTGTTTGATTTAAAACAAAAAAACAACAACAATATTGTGAAATATTATTATAATGTAAATCATCTGTTCTCTATGTGAATATATAGTGAAGTGTAATTTATTCCTGTGATCAAAGCTGAATTTATCATCATTACTCCAGTCTTCAGTGTCACATGATCCTTCAGAAATCACTCTAATATGAGGATCTGATGATCAACAAACATTTATGATTATTATCACAGTTATTTAGATTTTTATTTCAGGATTATTTGATGATTATAAAGTTCAAAAGAACGGCATTTCTCTGAAATAGAAGCTTTTGTAACATTAAACACTTCCGTTCAAACAGTTTGTGGTCAGTAAGAATTTTTATTTTATTCTTTGAGGGGAAATAAAAAAAAAAAAATCAACACTTTTATTCATCAAGGATGAATTAAATTGATCAAAACTGACAGAAAAGACATTTATAATGTTACAAAAGCTTCTATTTCAGAGAAATGCTGTTCTTTTGAACTTTACAATCATTAAATAATCCTGAAATAAAATATAAATAACTGTTTTCAACACTGATAATAATCATAAATGTTTCTTGATCATCAGATCCTCATATTAGAGTGATTTCTGAAGGGTCATGTGACACTGAAGACTGGAGTAATGATGAAAATATTCAGATTTGATCACAGGAATAAATAATTACACTGGATTATTTACACTGGAATAATATTTTTTTCTTGTATTTTTAATCAAATAACTGCAGCCCTGTGAGCAAAAGAGACTTCTTTTAAAAACATCAAAAATCTTACCGATCTAAAACTAATACTGTCTTTGCATGCCAGTTTTGTAACACAATAATGATGAAGAAAGAGAAAATCACAAGCGATGATTTCTGATCCATTCCTCACACTGGAAATGAAGGTCAAATGGTGCAATGCATTATGGGATGCTATTTTTCTGCATCTCTTAAATCACATTAATGTATTAGTCACTGATCAATAACACTAATTCTCAAACTCATGCATGTTGTGTGTGTTGCATGAAGCCGCACGTCAGTCTATGAACCGAACAATCCCGTCTTGTGTTCGTCAATCTCAGCGCTTTCTCTCCTTAATCTGTTCCTGTCGGGCAAACAAAGGCAGTTTTGACTGAACCTGGCCGCGTGTCAACACTGATAAAGCTTTTCTCTCCGTCTGAGACTCTGATGGACGTGTAATTTACAGACTTCTACGAGTGCGATTTTACAGTATAAATGTTAAATGCACAGTGACGACATCAGAAGGATCACCTCGACAAATCGCACGGCCAATCAAAGGTCATCTCTTCCAGGCAGCCAATCACAACGCTCGGGTACACATCAAAGGGGTTTGACTGGGCCAATCGCACGTCTGAAGTCGAGCCAATCGCTGAAAGACGGTGTGGATGTTTATCGTAGAAAGCAAAGCAGGTGTTTCTGAAGACCAACATCTGCACTAAGATCTCACACACACACACACACACACACTGTAACATTACCATGGCTAAAGTACACTGTATTCAGCACAAACTCTGTGAGCATGCATGTAAAAGTTTGTAGTTTTCAGAAAATGACATTTATGCGTAGTTTGTGAAAAAAATGAGTGAATGAAATAAGGCCATTAAACCTATACTGTTGTTTTTTGTTCATAAGACTTTTGAAAACTGAATCACGAACACTGCAAAAAGTGCTTTTCTTATTTAGCGTTTTTGTCTTTTTTTTCCAGTCCAAATATCAAACATTTCATAAATCAAGATGCATAAAATTACATAAGATATTAAGTCTTGTTTTCTGGGAAATAAATACAAATACAAACAAGCAAAATTATCTTCCAATGGGGTGAGAAAAATAAGTTTGTTAATAATTTTGCTTGTTTTAAGCATCAACTCACTTAATTTTGATTAAGTCCTCCAGAAAACAGGACATAATATCTGATCTCTTTTTACTCATCTAGTAAATGCATCTTGATTTAAGAAATGTTAGATATTTGGACAGGAAACGAGACAGAAATTAGTAAAAAAAAAAAAAAAAAAAAAAAAAGCATTTTTTGCAGGGTGGCCTACAATTTTTGCTTCAATACAATGTGAAAATCATCCTGCCCACTCATTCAAATAAAACAATTTAAAATTGGAAGGCTGATTTCGACAAAGGATTGAGGCATCTACTTTCCCTGCGCCGTGAAGGACAGAACGAGTGGATCCTTCACAGACTATCCCAAGATTCATTGCATGCCAGTGTTTTTTTGTTTTTGGCAAAGACTCACCTGATACATCAGACGGATGATGTCCGAGATCACCAGCTAATGTTCCCGTGACAAATTACAGGAACCGAAATGTGAATCCGCAGAGGAAAAACGTGACTCGCTGTAGCCTGACCTTGCTTAGTTCGATCACATGACCATCTGTAAATACAAGCGGCTAAAGATATCAAGATATTTCAAGAAAACCAGTCGAGTCATCAGGGGCTGCATGAAAAAGACTTTAATGTGATCATACTTCTTAATATCAGTACAAATAATATCTGCTTTAGTCGAGCGTTCATCTTAGCACAACCAAACTTTTACAAAAACCGCAGCAGAGACGAAGGAGAAAAACAGGAATGTTTTTATCAAAGCAGCTAACACGTTTCCTTCTTGCTGACCATGGATCGGTCAGGAAACCAGATTAAACACTCTAAAGGTGCGGCCACACTGGATTTGCATCAATACACATTTAAAAGCATGCATACTGAAAACTGCAATCTGGAGTAGATGGTTAACATTCTGAATTTAGCATTATATTTATTATTCAAATGAGAAGTCCATATGCAAGGCATCATATCCAATTTATATAGCAAAACAAGTATGTATTATTTTTTCATACTTTCGCATACTTAAAATCTAGTGTGACCGACTTACTGAGAGAAAACTGAGACCACGCCCACCGAACAAACCTCCAGTCGACTGCTTTTATTCGCTGGATTTGGTGACGTGGGAAACATCTGAGAATTTATTTTCTGTGTAACACATCCTTTATTTATATCTTTTAGAATGAGATTTCCAGGCAGACTGTAGCATTTCAATCTGTGGAAACCACTGTCAGACGAGAAGCACAATCAGAAAACGAGATTCAGTCTCGGATTCACAAGAACTGCAAATTTACAACCGAGCCATAAATGTGAGCAGCTGCCAAATGGAAAAAAAATATATAGAATTTCACTGTAATTAAAATGATCTCTATCTACACGCATAAATACATCCCATTGTAGGATACACTGAGAAACACTTAATTTTTGACCGTAAAGCTTTTGACCATGCAATGCTCAAATTTCCTGCACTTTCGTGACCATAAAATACTCAAAATCCATACTCATTCTGTGACTGTGGGTTATATCATTACATAGACCCGACAATATATATATATATGTATTTAAGGCTGATCTACAGGCCAAATACTACAAGGTAGCTGACGAACATTTAAATATGCACAAACCGAAGTGTACGTCATCGAAAATACATATTCCAACTATATTCCTATATACATACATGTGTCTGTCAAATACTGATGAGTTTGTAAATCCCTGGACTGCCGAGAAGGATGCATTTACAAATATAAAGATCAAAAGTGGGACTGCTATCGTCATGGTGTTATCATGTTACCATGAATATCACAGAGGCTATTTAGATTGCCCTTTTAATTTAAGTTAAATTTAGTGTTTAGCCCATAAACATCAGCAATTTAAGTTATTTTTTAAAAATTTCATCACTAAAGTTCTGCCTAACTATTATTAAATATAAAATTTACTATTTACTACAAGCATATTCATTTTCCGCTGTCTGTAGCTTCTTAAGCAGGATGTTTGAAGTAATTTTACAAGGAAAAAAAACTCAAACAGCTGCTGTTTTTATGTCAGATGACTGAAACCTCAACTAGAACAGCAGCGTTAGTCGCTCCCTGAATGAAAGGGTGTTCGGTGTCTGCGACTGCTCTTAGAGAGCCACCTTCCAGCAAAGTTTAACTCCAAAACATCTACCTGAAAGTTAAAAGATTAGAGCTGGAGATGAAGGTGGCCTTTCAGGAGGAGGACTGAACACCTCTGGTTTAGGGTGTAAGTGTTAGAACAGGGTAGGGTTAGGATGTAACATCCACAGATTAGAAAGTAAGGTGCAGGGATCTCAAACTATTGGCTAACACCATCTCAGTAAGGTAATTTGTGTTCGAGGCCTCTGATGCAGAGTTCAGGATCATTTGGTTGAGGTTTGGGTGCTCTATCCCGCTCCTGGTGATCTACCTCTTTAAAGGATCCCCAATTACCTGGTTAAATTGTGATTGGAGGGTTGGAACTTAAGTCTATAGAAAGCAAGACTTCCAGGAGCAGGACTGAACACCTCTTGAACAGGGTAGGCTTCGGATATGACATACCGAATTGAGGGTGTAGGGCGCAGGGATCTCAAACAACTAGCTAACACCACCTCGCTAGGTAATTTGCATTCGAGACCCTTGACGTAGAGTTCAAGATTGCGATCAATCCCGCTCCTGGTGATCTACCTCTTTAAGTGATCCCCAATTAGCTGGTTAAAGTGTGATTGGAGGGTTGGAACCTAAGTCTATAGAAAGCAAGACTTCCAGGAGAAGGACTGAACACCTCTAGAACAGGCTAGGCTTTGGATATGACATACCGAATTGAGGGTCTAGGGAGCAGGGATTTCAAACAACTAGCTAACACCACCTCGCTAGGTAATTTGCATTCAAGACTTGATGCAAAGTTCAGGATCATTGAGTTGAGGTTTGGGGGCTCAATCCCTCTCAAGGAGATCTACCTCTTTATGTGATCCCCAATGAGCAAGTTGAAGTCTGATTGGATGGCCGAAACTTAAGTCCAATGGGTAACAAGATCTCCAGGAGTAGGACTGAACACCCCTGGTTTAGAGTGTAAGAAAAGGATTCGGCTTCGGATATGACATTCAGAGTTGAGGGTCTAGGGCGCAGGGATCTCAAACAACTAGCTAACACCACCTTGCTAGGTAATTTGCATTCAAGACTCCTGATGCAAAGTTTAGGATCATTGGGTTGAGGTTTGGGGGCTCAATCCCTCTCAAGGAGATCTACCTCTTTATGTGATCCCCAATGAGCAAGTTGAAGTCTGTTTGGATGGCTGAAACTTAAGTCTACGGGTAGCAAGATCTCCAGGAGTAGGACTGAACAACCCTGGTTTAGAGTGTATGAAAAGGATTCGGCTTCGGATATGACATTCAGAGTTGAGGGTCTAGGGCGCAGGGATCTCAAATAACTAGTTAACACCACCTTGCTAGGTAATTTGCATTCAAGACCCTTGATGTAGAGTTCAAGATTGTGCTCAATCCCGCCCCTGGTGATCAACCTTTTTATGTGATCCCCAATTAACTGGTTAAAGTGTGATTGGAGGGTTGGAACTTAAGTCTATAGAAAGCAAGATCTCCAGGAGCAGGACTGAACACCTCTAGAACAGGCTAGGCTTCGGATTTGACATTCCGAGTTGAGGGTCTAGTGCGCAGGGATCTCAAACAACTGGCTAACACCACCTCGCTAGAGAATTTGTTCAGGATCATTGGGTTGAGGTTTGGGGGCTCGATCCCGCTCAAGGAGATCTACCTCTTCATGTGATCCCCAATGAGCTCATTAAAGTGTGCTTAAGTCTACAGGTTGCAAGATCTCCAGGAGCAGGACTGAACACCCCTGGTTTAGGGTTAACAGAATTAGGGTTCGGATATGACATTCAGGGTAGAGGGACTAAGGCGCAGGGCTCTCAAACAACGAGCTAACACCACCTCGCTGGGTAATTTGCATTTGAGAATTCTGTCATCAATAAATCACCCCCATTGTGTTACAATCCCATAAGACTGTCCCTCCATTGAAAGTATTGACCTAAAAACTCCTACGTTTCAAAACAATTATAAAAAGAAATTGTAAAATAAATCCACATTAACTGCGTTTTTTAATCCAAGCCTTCTGAGGAGACACGCAAGAACCAATGAGGTTTGTTCTCATGCGTCAAGCAAGTACAGTTAAGCTTTGTTTATGTTTGCTGATAAAAGTCTTATGGATTTGGAATAACATGCGGTGAGTAAATGATGACAGAATTTACTTCCTTTCGTTAGAACTGGAGCTGAAGGTAGCCTTCCAAGAGCAAGACTGGACTCTCCTGGTTTAGGATAAGGTTAGGATAAAACACTCATAGCTTAGGAAGTAGAGTACAGTGATCTCAAACTACTCGTTCAAACCACCTAACTAGGTAATTTGCATTTGAGATATCTGGTATAGGGTTAGGGTAGGGTGTTCATTCCCGCTCCTGGTGATCTACCTCTTTAAGTGAACCCCCAAAGACCTTGATTAGCTGGTTCAAGTGTGTTTGGAGGTTTGGAACTAAAGTCTCCAGGAAGTCGGACCACCATGAGCAGGAGTGAGTTCCCCTGGTTTAGGATCTGGGATTTATCTGTAGTACCTAGTTCTCCCACCGTAAGGCTTTACACCTGTACCTGAACTAGCCGTGCCTCTAACAGCAGGCCCTATAAGTGCATTGGTTTTCATCATAATGTTTTGTACCTCTTTAGAAAGTAAAAAGCTCTCGCTGTCGTAAGCACCACCTTGACACAATGAAGGCACCTGGCGCACCCCTCGGGGTTCAATGAGTTCTTCTCATAAGAAGAAAAACAATAACACGATCAACAACATGGAGACCCGGAGACAAACAAAAACACAAATCAGAAGTGAGGAATGTCTTCTTGTACATGCATCCCAAGTGTGCATGGGAGCGAGAACGTACCATACCGCTTAAGTCTGTAGGGAATCACCACCATATGTCCACTGTGCTGGTAAAGAGTCAATAACCAACGTTGAGCTTATTCTTGTTGAGCTCCCTCTCCAGGTTGCCAATGAGAGTGTCGATGCTCTCCTGCAAGTCCCGTAGGTTGACCCTGTTGCTTAGTACTGGGCTGATCTCCTGGATCTTCATGTAGGCCTGGTAGGTGTGCTCTTTGGGTCTGTGCTCCTCGTAATCGGGGAGGATCTGATCGCAGGGGCTGATAGGTAGAGGTTCCTCTACTTGTAGCCTATCCAACTCTCGTGTATCCTCTTCCTCACTCAATTCCTCCTCTATCTGCATTTCCTCAACCCTCTCCATTGCCTCATCCACCTCGGGAAACTCTTGTTCAGGGACCACATCTTCAGTACCCTTCGGTAAATCCTCCTGTCCCACGTTCGGAGGCTCTTCGCTGGGAACGTCGTCATAGTCGGCCTCCTCCAGGCAGCTCGGTTGGAGGTAAGTTTCCCGGCATCGGCTCCAGTCCCCGGCGTAGCGGTTACTGGGACTGTCCAGACGTCCAGGTCTGGGTCGCAAAACTCCAGCCATGTCCGCCTCAGTTAAATTCAACACCTGTGGACGCTCTTTCCTCCTCCTTACGGCAGCCGTCACCACTGGGAGCGACTCCATCAGGGCAGGAACCGGAGATGAAGATTTACCCTGAGCGTCCACAACTAAAAGAGAAAGAAAACAATGGGTTTATACACTTGAATACAAATTGATGACACACTTCAGATGGTGAGAGAATATATGGAATAACCAGTGTTGGGGGATGTACTTCAATAGCTTCAATCTAGTAAAATAAATACTTCAAATGAGGCAATACTTTGTACACATTAAAAAGGTTTACTAAAATGAATGGTACTTTACTGGCATTACTTGATAGAGAGAGGATAATTTAGGCGTTTAGACTTTTAGTTAGTTACTCCCCAACACTGTCAATAACATATGGGTTTTTTACATAAAAAACAAAGCATGCAGAACAAATGAGACAGATGCCACAAGACCCTAAAAAACTCAAAATCCTAACTACCGACACCAACCCAATTTGGCCAAACCTCAAATACTTTTATTTGTGTTCTGCCCCCCCACCTATTAAACTAAGTTGCCACAAACGTTGTAACTCTGGCTGATCTGGTGAGGGAGAGTGGCACAACAGAGGCAAACTCATTATCTTTAGCTTCTATTTAAACAAATCGGCATGCTAGCAAGATATTCAGATCATGAAAGAATAGCAGAAGACACGCAAAGCACACCGGTTAATCCCGTTTACCTGCCCCGATCTGCCCTCTAAACCCTTTGGTGATTTTAGCTGCGGCCTACATGTGATGGGACGAGTAAAATAAAACAAAAAGACAAGCACAAATAAATATACAATCTACAAATGAGAGCTAAACAATTAGATTCGCTGCTCTGAAGTCCAGAGAATACTTGATACTTTATATTTTTGATAGCGTGTGCGAACGCAAGCGGGAGACCCATGTGCTCTAGGGAGTTTCATCTTTCTCCAGTGTCTGCGCTATTTCTCTCCAGAAGTTGAAACGAATCGAATGTGTGTGAATCTCACATGCCGTTTATTATAATGAGGGTAATGTATAATAGCGAGTGTTCAGTTCTCACCGGGCCAGAGCTGGAGCAGATAGTGCAGCACCTCGATGTGCTTCTTGAAGTGCAGAGCGCTGGCCAGCTCCTCGGAGTCGATGAAGACCCGGTTCCCGTGACACGACGCCTCTTGCCGCTGGCTGAGCAGAACCGGTCCGAAACACACCGCCAGGTTCTGGCAGGTCATCTTATTCACCTCGTGATGAGACGCCACGCGCTTCAGGTGATCCAGGAGCTTACGCAGGGTCGCCTGGAGAGCAGAAACCACAGGTGTGAGACGACCTGAACCATCCTTGAGTAAAGCACAGATCCCTTACAGTGAAGATAACTCTTTACACGCTACCAATTCCAATTTCTTTAAATACGGTAACTAATTACATTTACTCAAACACTTCACACCAGTGGCAGACACACACACACACACACACACGTGAGGTCATGGATAGTGTCCCTGTACCTTCTCCACGTCGGGCAGGATCTCCATCAGGCTGACGGCGTGATCCGTGTCGAGCAGGTCGTTCTCACACACGCCGCTTCCCATCAGCAGCGGCCGCTTCGACATCGCCTCCAGAACCGACTCGTACAGCGGCGGAGTAATCAGAGGACGAGGAAGCTCTCGCAGAAAATCCTTCAGCACGCCTACACACACACACACACACACACACACACACATCAGATCAGCACAGCAAAACAGCCCACAGGAAATAGAGGAAAAAAAGATATAGATAAATCTTTTATAAACTAAAAATATATAACATAAAAATTAAATTATAATAAATCCATAAATAGATTAAATAAATAAAAATATAATTTAAATAAATATATAAATAAACAAATACATAAATTATAAAAAAAAAATTATAAATGATAAAAATAATAATTAAACCAATCAATAAAAATATCAATAAAATTATATATAGATAATATAAAAAAATTAAAAACAAGAAAATAAACAAATAAATAAATGTAAAAGTAATTCATAAAAATAAGTGTTGTAAAAATAACATAAGAATTAGATAAAAAAAATAAGAAAAGTCGATTAAAGATAAAAAATATGTAAATAAATACATAATAAAAACAATATTGAAATAAATAAAAATAAGTAAAACACAAACAAATAAATGTAAAATAATTCATGAAAATGTAAAAACATAAAAACAAGATTTGAATAAACAAATAAAATAAATAAATAACTGATAAGAATTAGATTAAAATAAATTAAGAAAACTTGATAAAAAAAAACAAATACATAAAAATATGACAAATAAAAACTAGATTATAATAATCAAAAATAATAGATTAAAAAAGTAAATAAATACACACACACACAATTGAATATGTGGTTTGTGGGGCTGAGCCAGAGCTAAATACAGACACACACACACACACACACGTTTATTTAGCTACTTTGTGGGGAATCCATTGACGAAATAATGTTATACTGTACAAACTGTAGATTCTGTCCCCTTACACTAACTTTATAAGTGTGTTTTTACTGTGTGTTCATGAGCTGGTGTCCTCAACAGTCCCACAGGGGTTTCAGATTCACTGACACACACACGATGATTAGCACACTGCAAATAGAAGCGCTAATTCAGTCAGAAGTGACCTCTGACCTCGGAAGTGTGTGTGACTGAGACAGCAGCATGTCATGAGCAGCAACTGAAGACACACACACACACTTACGCACGCACATGCACTCACATATATACGCTGAACAATATTGATATGTTGATATGTAAAAGTGGGCTACATATAGCAGATTGATTGGCTGGCTGGTGGCCAGATGCATGATGGGACATTCAGCCACACAAGGCAAATAAACACCACCTGCTCATACAAAACTACACAGCGGGCATCAAGCTCACACAACACACATATAAGCACACGCCTGAACGCACATGTGCACACACACACACACACACACACACACACACACACACACATAAATCTATGCTGAACAAAATGGAAAGTTGATATGTAAATGTGTGTAACCGTAACACGCGTGTTCATACCTGTGATGACGTTGATATCCGGGTAGTTGTTTTCCGAGAGCTCGACGCTGTGACTGTCCCTCTCGAACGCTTCCCGGAGCTCCTTCTTCACCGCAGCCGAACCACAGAGACGATACAGACCCACCACCTGTCAATCAAACACACAGCTGTCAATCAAACACAACCTGTCAATCAAACACACAACTGTCAATCAAACACACAACTGTCAATCAAACACAACAGCTGTCAATCAAACACACACACTGTCAATCAAACACAACAGCTGTCAATCAAACACACCACCTGGTAATCAAACACACAACTGTCAATCAAACACAACAGCTGTCAATCAAACACACCACCTGTTAATCAAACACACAACTGTCAATCAAACACAACAGCTGTCAATCAAACACACCAGCTGTCAATCAAACACACAACTGTCAATCAAACACACAACTGTCAAACACACCAGCTGTCAATCAAACACACCAGCTGTCAATCAAACACACAACTGTCAATCAAACACACCAGCTGTCAAACACACCAGCTGTCAATCAAATACACAGCTGTCAATCAAACACACCAGCTGTCAATCAAACACACAACTGTCAATCAAACACACCAGCTGTCAATCAAACACACAGCTGTCAATCAAACACACAGCTGTCAAACACACCAGCTGTCAATCAAACACACCAGCTGTCAATCAAACACACAACTGTCAATCAAACACACCAGCTGTCAATCAAACACACCAGCTGTCAATCATAAAACAACTGTCAATCAAACACACAGCTGTCAATCATAAAACAACTGTCAATCAAACACACAGCTGTCAAACACAACAGCTGTCAATCAAACACACAAGTTGTCAAACACAACCTGTCAATCAAACAAATGTGAGTTGTGTGTGTCTGTATGCATGTGTGTGTGTACCTGTGTTTGTGTATCTGTATGTGTGTGTGCCTTTATGTAGGCGTGTCTGTGTGTGTTAAACTCTAAAAATGTCACCCAGAGGAAATAATATCTTGTTCTAACAGCCGAGGAGTTCCTGAATCCAGCGACCGCTTCCTCTGCTCTCTGCGACACACACACACACACACACTCTGTGACTCTCAGTGACCGCAGACTCGATCGCTAGCGTGACACACACTAAACCACACTAGGAATGTTTGATTTGGGCTGCAGCCACACGTCTCCACTAGACTCACACACACACACACACACACACACACACACACACACTGTCCGGAGCGGCTCTTAGAGGTCAGGCTAATGCGCAAACACAGCAAATTTATATTTTCAAAAACACATTTTACTTTAAAACGGCAAGAAAATCAAAGCCATAAATCTAAACAAGTTATGCTTCAAATTTGAGCTTCATATTTTTACAAAAATAAGCGTTCAGTGAGAGTGTGTTCGACTGCAGTACCAAACGCTTCCACTAGAGGAAACTCAGTCATTTCTGACCGCGAGAAACACAAATGTGACGATTTATTTCAGGACCATTTAACCTTTTTGTGCATTCACACACACACACACACTTTACCACGTTTCGTACCATTCCGATAAAGTAAAAAAAAAACAACGTACAATTTGTCGGTCAAAAAGGCAACAAAAGGGTTAAACAGGGAAGAAGGGCTGGGGAAAAACCCTCACGGCACACAGCCAATCATTAACACACACACACACACACACACACACACACACACACACACACACACACACACACACTGGATGGATGTTTCCCCGCGGCCACAGTTCATAAGAAGCATTCCTTCAGCATGCGTGACCTTCGCATGTCGTGCGTCTTAAGGCAAACTATACAAGCTTTAGTAAAGTTCCCACACACATCGTGATCAGCAGAGCGCCCACCTTAAAACAAGTTCACTTACCAACAATATTATAATTCAGTGAACTAAATACAGAACAACTACATAGAATATACTTCATTTTAGCTTTTAAAGGGCAGTGAACACAATTAATGTCACATGACCAAGCATATTCACATTAGTCGAAACTGTACCAGAAGTGCACTTGTCACATGACCTCACTACGCCGCATGAATCCAGGAACAGTTCTTCTTGATTTTGGCTACAAATGTAGTTGTTACTTCAGATGCTAAAAAATCCTAAATACTGCACACTAACTTAACTAGTATGTGACTTTTTATGAACATTATAGTTGATACCGATAATTCTTTATGTTTGAAAGATGATAACCGATATATTGGTTATACACTCAATCCAAAATTTTCAAAAGTCTGATTACAAAAAATTAAAAGCCACAAGCAAACAATTATAATGTTCTCATTATAATTTTACGTAGCTTTTATGACAGACTTGTTGAAAATTACACTTAACTGTATTTTCCTTTCTTACAGTCATATTTAAAGCAATTGAAAATAATTCTTATCAGGCCGATAACAACAACATTAAAAATCAACATATATCGGCCGATAGAAACCGATATGGTCACCGATATATTGTGCATTCCTTGCTACACATTTGTCACATGACCTTGCTAGGTTACATCATCTAAAAAAAATTACAGCACAACAGTGCGACTTCAAGCGCAAGAAAAAACATGCTAAACTTGTGTGTATATATATACAGGAGAAACTCAAAAAATTTGAATATCGTACAAAAGTTAATTTATTTCAGTAATTCAACTTAAAAGGTGAAACTAATATATTATATAGACTCATTACATGCAAAGTGAGATATTTCAAGCTATTTGTGATGATTATGGCTTAGCCTCGAAATATCTCACTTTGCATGTAATGAGTCTATATAACACATTAGTTTCACCTTTTAAACTGAATTACATAAACTTTTGCACTATATATCTCAGATATATGGGCTTTAGCTGTCAGATTGACCATGCGTGAGTATTGGGGTACATCTGATCTGAGAACAGCAGACAAGAGTTGTTTTGAGGGTTGACAGCAGACACACTTGGTGGGATGAATGGACGAGAACAGCGTTAAACTCTGGGTGACACTGTAACAGAGACAGATTGTGTGTGTGTGTGTGTAACGGAGATGAATGGCTAGAACTTTGGCAATATGCCTGTGCACACAAACCCATAGAGAGGCCTTGCTAAGCTTGTTTGTGTGAGCGTGTAATGTCCATAGACACGGACTTTAGAACGGTTGGCGAGCTCACTTTAACCAAAGCCTAACAAATGACAGAAGACACTCATACACTTCAAGGCAAAGTGTGTCATTTCTGGGCAACTAGGCTACATTCATACTGCAAGTCTTGGTGCTCCACTGTTTTGTTTGGCTAATATCGGGTTTGAGTGCGAACTGGTCATGATCTTGAACTGACCCGCATGTGCAAAGATTTAGATATATCACCATATAGCCTAACACTAGTCACCCACTGAAGCTAAGCAGGGAAACCCAGGTGGGGGCTGGAAGAGGGATTAGTGAGGCCAGTAGGGGGCGCTCACCCTGTGGTCTGTTTGTGTTCAAACCAAGCAGAAACCTTCCTGTCTCCCTCTTGAATCCAACACGGAAGTGACTTAAACTGCAGTTTATCGACTGGCCACCAGAGCCCATCTAACGGAGAGCCTCAGCACTTCCTATTAGCCCTGTTGTGTGTCATCTTGGTTGCAGTTCCATTAGAATTCCACTGGGGGTGATCGCGGGCGAGAGCAGAATGAATGGGAGTCTATGGGGCTAAACGGCTAAAAGTGTCTCTTTCACCTGCTTGTCGTTAAATCAACATACATTTTATTGTTGATTCCGCAAGTTCAATATAGATTATAGGCCAAAAGTCGAATGAACGAGTACTTGTGTCCCTTTGATTTCTTACAGGTTAGGCCGTTGTTGGCCAGAACACGCTAGCATTCTGCTATTGTGTGACATCATCACATTTTTGAACGGATTTTTAGAACCGATAAGTGAACTTAAAAATGCAATTTTCATCTGAGTGTATTATCTTAGCCCTCCCTTTTAAATGCAAATTACTTGACAAAAAATTACATCCTGAGAAAAGTGGATTTCTGGGGGTGAAACCCCATTGACTCCCATTCATTCTGCACTCGACCGCGAGCGCCCCCGCATGGACAGAGACGCGTTACTGCAGCCAGTCCAGAACCCGGAAGTAACCAGCCAGTGCCAATTCTCTTCAATTAGACATTCTCTGTGGCCACTAAAGATCGGCTGCAAAAGTCCCATAAAGCCCCATGTCAAACTGCCCAACTTTACAGCAGAAAAAAAAACATGTTTATAACCTGGTGCAAAAAGTGGTTTTGGTCTATATAGGTAATTCTGCCCTTCATGAAAACTGTGAGGGGGGTTAAACTCATCTGTTTAAATTATATTAAGCCTGAAAGTTCTGCGTAATTAAGGGCGTGGCCACTTGAGTGACAGGTGGATTTCTGCTAGCCGTTTGTCTGCTATCTGTTAGCGTCAAGTCACCTCAGCTAATCCGCCTCGCTGCACTTTTACGATTATTCGGGAATGACGCGCTGCCAAGATGGCGACGGCCGTCTCCGCCCACTTTGGGCTTCAAAAATGCTCTTCAGAAACACTACGGGTGACGTCACACACACTACACCCACATTTTCTTTGCAGTCTATGGTCCTAACGCCCCAGTATAGTGATGGGAACACTATACTGTAACCTTCGGATGAGACCGAGGTCCTGACTTAAACCGAGGTCCTGACTCTCTGTGGTCATTAAAAAATCCAATGGCACTTCTTGTAAAGAGTAGGGTTGTAACCCCAGTGTCCATTTCCACTCAATTGCCTCTATCACTATCTCTCCTCTCCACTGACTACCTTGGCAGCCGTCTTCCATATCAATATGGAATATCGGATTATATTATATTGGGATCATATTTCACCTGCAGTCTGAATCTAGCCATGGAGTAACAAGAGTGCGCTATTTCTGGGCTACTAGTGGGAGTAAATTAAACTGCAAAACTCAAACAAGTTTCACAAACATCTCTTCTGCTCTTTCTGACCCATCACTGGTAGTCCCGTTTCCAACTGTTCTAGGACTCTTTTGAAGGTGCCACCTTGGGATGCTGCTCATAAAGTCGGCATATCAATGGCTTACTTATAGTTACAGATTAAACTGCAATAGGAGAACTTTGTACCGAGTGATTAGGCATCAAAACAATTACACGATTCACCTTTAAATTGGAAATTTGATGAGGAACTGCAAGCAGGTTTAAGAGCCTAAAAGATCTGCTCCGCTCACTCACCTGACAACCCCTCCTCTCGATCTCAGAGATGCATTTCTCGATAAGCAGTGGAACCATTAATCCAGAAGCTTCCCGTTCCACCACGCGCCGAGCCTCTACGCCGAAAACCTGCGTTTCGTGATCCCCCTCCGGGCCATCGAGGGAGTTCTGCCTCTGCTCCATGAGACTCAGCTTGACGTAGATCATCCCGCGCGGTTCCAGACGGACCGCGAGCTGGTGTGTCTTACTCACACGAAACAACGCCGGGAGAATCACGGATCCATGGCAGCACACCCGGTTCCGTCGTGGGGTTGATTCCCAACTGAAGACCACAAGCTTGAGGTGCTGGGCATTCTCCAACTCAATGTTAAAGGTGTGGTCCATGTCTAGAAAGGCCGTGCGACAGGTAAGCAAAGCCGTCCGAGCTTTGTTGACAGAGTCCACCTGAATGGCACAGTAAACATTGCGGGAATCGACCCGTGGTGGCTTCAAGTCCTCTGCACCGTAGAAGTGCAAACTCATTAGTCCAGAGATGAAGGTTAGGCACTTCGGCTGCTCGGAGAAACTGTACGATCGGAAGGCATCGATATCCAACTCGGTGCCGGGGAGCTTCGGACTTCCGCCATTCCCATTGGGATCTCGGGCTTTACAGTTCTTTCGTTCAGAGTTCCCGTGTTTCCCCGACTTGGCCACAAGTTCAGGCGAGTCTCCGTCACTTAGGTAACCTCCCTTACTTGCCGATTTGGGAATGCCGCCACAGTTGCTCCTCCTTTTATCAAAGTTGTGCTGAGTAGAAACACTGCTGTCGAGATGGTACCGCCAAATCACATTACCACTCGCCAATGCAGTCGTAACACCCGACGGAGACAGCCTGGGCCGGGACTGGCCCAGTTCTGCAATCCCATTGGCTCTAGGTGAGTGAGCCCTTGGTTCTGATTGGCTGTTGCTGATGGACACATTGCTAGGGTTCCCTTTAACGCTAAGCTTCCGACTAAGATCGGGCAGTTTCTTCATCTTCATAGAAAGTTTCCGGACAGTCCGTGGTGACTTGATTTTATCGGGGAAAGACCAGTTGATAGCTGTGCTCCTTTTAGCTGGGTTTGGACTAGAAGAGGGAGAAAGTCCACCAGCTGATTGCTCTGAAGGATCTACGGGAAGAAAAGGAGGGTTCAATTAGTAAATTGCCGCTAGTCGTTGGGAAAAATCAACTCTAAATCGTGTGGGAGTACTTTTTGAAGTCCCCCTGAAATGAAAATCCAGCTTTTAATGTTTTTTTTATACGTCTAATGTGGTGTTATACAAGACAAGACAGCATTGCTGAGGTACAAACTTCCTTGTAACCAATCTGGGGTGCGTTTCCCGTACAACGACGTAGTTCGCTGTTTCGCTACCATAGTACGATGCATCGTTGGAAAAATCAACTAGCTAATCACGACTGTTTCCCGAAACCCACTGTCGCAAAGTATCGTTCAACCACGTTGGTTTCGCACGTCGTTGAGTGATAACTACTTTTAATGAAACTGTTTGAGATCCAATTAACGCTAGATTTGTTTTATATAAATTACAGACATGTCATCTGAGGACTATTTCTAATTGTTCTCCGTTGTTTTGCTTTATTACCAGACTCAATATTTGGCTCGTTCTCACATAGTAGAGCACGTTCGCACATGCGCACTCTTCAAACGCGTTAGTTCAAATCTTTTGAAAAACTAAAAGACGTAAATTCCATTTGTATGTATTGTAAATAAAAGGCACCGTTGTACTGAATGTCAGCTTGCTTATTTTGCTCAAGATAAGGATTTATTACCTCCAAATGTGATGCAATATAGAAACGATGCCTCTAACCACAAAACCACACAACTTTGCGATGTTGTTTGCGAATATCCGTTGGAACGATGGTTACGGGAAACACCGACTCGTGAAACTATGCAGATAACGACGGAACTTCCGACCATTGTTGGCTAACGATGCTTTCGGGAAACGCACCCCTGATCAACGTGTGATCGTCAAAGAGTGGATCTCTGAGCTGAGTAGTGGAGGCGGGGCTCATTTGCATATTCATAGAACCACGTATTCTAAATGAGGCCAGGGTGTCGAGTTACATTCAAGATATTTTAAAGCATAAAATACATTATTATTAAGGAAAAAACTTTTAAATATGTAATTTTGGTGATCAAAGATGAGTTTTAAGGGATAAAATGATTGACTACAGGGGAACTATAATTAAATCACTGTAAGAGAGACATACACACACACAAAAAAAACGTATTCGAATCGATAGACGCTTCAAAGTATTTTTCTAGAACTGCATGCCCAACTCTTTTCTGAAAGTAACAGTTATTTGGGATGTTTAAAGCAAAATCCTTAATCAGTAGAAGCAGTGCAGACACATGAGTGTTTAAGGACTTTAATTCAGTGCAACTGGTGCTTAATAATTCAGCGTTACCACTTCTTACATCTTCAGTTATTCAAACCAAACTTTATTCTGAGTCTGACACCTTCAACATTTCTCACATTATCATGGTTTATTTGCTATAGTTAGAACATGATAATAAAATATGACAAGAATCAATGGATATTGGACTGGTTTTGTCCGTCCTTCTGTTGGACTCTCACACATGAATTATGTTGAAGATCTGTTAAATTTAACTACACAATTAGATAATAGCAGTTTAGCTCAAGCAATGCTTCATGTTGTTCAGTGTGTGTGTAAAAAGAGCATTAGCACTTACAGAAAACACACATCATCAGCTCAAAGTGGAGGAATAACTTTTCACTGGTAGTCGCTGTATGAAGAATATTTGGGTGTAATATGTCACCGTTTACTTTATTTTGCTCTGCTCTCTTACATAAATGAACTATAGTGTCTTGCACACACTAGTTAAAAAAAATATGAAAAATTATATCTGGTTTCTGAATAATCTTTGGTTTGACCGTATCATCAAATTATTCCATCCCCTTGTTGTGTGCCTAAAACAAGCCCAATAAATGGACAAACTTGACCCATTATCCATAATTCCTTCTGCCTGTTCACTCCTGTTCAGTCCACAGGATTCCCCCTTTGCTCCGCACACACATACAGTACATGCACAACTTAATAACTACATATATCCCAAAAAATTCCCTACCCAGAACAGCCACACACATCAAAAACACGAAACATCTGTGGAAAATTCCAGAGCGGAGCGTTTACCCAGACCTCCTCTGGCCGAGAGCGCAGTGGTTAAAGGGGTGGTAAAGGATGATTTCCCTTTTCTAGCTGTAGTTGGTGTGTAATGTTGACACGATTTATAGATTATCAAGACAGAATATGCTACTCAAAGACTTGAAGATCGTTAACTCCACATCAGATGCGTAAAAATAGACTGACTAACTACTTAGAAACGTCCTGTTGCTTCTACATGTCGTCACTTCTTCTTGAGTCTCGCCATCGTTGCCCGACTCCGAAACATAAAAGGCAAAAAGGCTAAACAATTTTTGAAATTTTCAGGTAATCGGACTGTTGTAGCTCCGCCCTCTGCAGCAGCTCATTTGCATTTAAAGGGACGGTGTGTGTTTTTTGATCATTCTCAAAAAGTAACAAATCGTCGTCACCCCTTTAAATCGCTCCATCATAATCAGCTCTAGATTCGTAGATTCCTTTAACGAGAGACTGCGGGCCCTTGGATGCCGTGATCTCCTCCACAGCACTTCACCGTTACGAACCGGATTTCTAATAAAGTTGCAGATTAGCCTCATCTCTCTCCCTCGCCCTCTCCTCCTCTCTGATCACATGACATGTTCGTCTGCTTTACTACAACAGCGGCTCTGTTGCCGGAGTTAGCCTCCTTCAACACCCGCCGTTTGATGTGGCACTAACCCGCCAGATAAAACAAAGACCCGATTCTGTTAGAGAGAGAGAGAGAGAGAGAGACAGAGAGAGAGAGAGATGCCACAGGGAATCACACTTTTGAAAAAAAGCAGTGTTTCTTTAAAGGGACAGATCAACCAAATAAAAAGTTTTTGTCATCGTTTATGAACCATCTTATGTAGTTCTTGTACACATGGGTCGGGTGCATCCGTTTTACACACACACACACTCTCGCACACACAGAAACAGGCACTCAGACAAACACACACACACTCACTCACGTCACATGCACTCACAAACACACATGCAAACTTGTAAACGTTTTTCGTATATACATTGTGATATGATATATCTGAAAGAATTGCTAATGCTCCTTGACAGTGTGTGTGTGTGTGTGTGTGTGTGTGTGTGTGTGTGTGTGTGTGATTATTTAGCATGTCTGATAGTGGCAGGTGTCAGTGGGTCGATCTGGTCACCAGTCACACTAATTATAGAGTGTCAGAAGACATTTTACAGCCTTAAAACTGTCACACACACACACACACACACACACGGACATAGAAAAAATAGAACACCCCCCCCACACACACACACACACACACGGACATAGAAAAAATAGAACACCCCCCCCCCCCCCCCCACACACACACACACAGACAAAATTACACACTAACAAAAACACACACACACACTCTCACTTACAAACAAACACACACACTCACACACAGACACAATCACACATGGATATACAAAAAAATAGAACCCCCTACACACACACACATGCACACTCTCTCACTCACAAACACACACACACACACACACACTCACAGACACACACTAACGCAAACAGATGCACTCACAGACGCACACACACATACACACACACACAAACACACACACACACACACACGTGTGTTTATCTGCGATGAGAGTGCAGTCTGATGTCATGGACTGTGTGTTGAACTGATCCCAGATCTGTTCTTTCTGTAAATGATTCAAAGGTTTCATTCAGAGCCACAGAATAAAGCTCAATTACACACACACACACTTCATTAATACTTTAAGGCTCTCGTTTAATTCATGAGTGTGAGATGAGCTGAACTAATGACTGAAGAGCTGAGCTGGCGTATATGAACATCATTCGTTTATCCGGAGCAGGAGCGCTCTCTGATTATACGTCTCTCTACAATAAGTTTCATACCATTAACAGATATTAAAATATTCTTTACAGATCATTTTAGCATTCTGTGACTTCATCATATCCATATAAAGAATTATATATATATATTAAATGTACATATGAAATATACACACACATATATATATATATGTGTGTGTGTGTGTGTGTATAATTATTTTGTATATATAAAAACACAAATGCATATATTTACTATATATATATACACACACACATAATTTATATAATATATAAATATTTTATATATTAAAAACACATTTTTTTTCTTAAATATATACATGCATGTGTGTGTATTTATATATACAAAATAATTATACACAGCACACACACTCACTCACTCACTCACACAGACACACACATACACACACACACTGCCTTTCACAATGTCACACTCAGATCCGGTTACCTGCCACCCAGGGGATTATGGGTAATATTAGCGTCTCTGTGTCATCAGTGATGTCAGAGCGAGAGCTGGATTGGCGTTTGAGCCGCTTGTGTTTCACACACACACACACGCACACACACACACACACACACACACTCAACTCAACCAACACACAGAATAACTTTACTAAAAACTAGTGAAGAAGAAATAACTATTTACATGTAATTTCTAAATATATCATACAAGTCCTATATATATAAATATATGTATGGACTGCAGTTTGCACACACTGATGAGCGCTCACACAGAGCCAGGAGTGTGTGTGTCGCTGACAGCCTCTCTAATACGCATGACTGCATTAGTCAACAATCTCACACATTCATAACTCGCTAAATATAGATCTGATGATATGATCCCGGTCATAAACCCTGTGCCTAACACTGATATTACAGATCACATTAACATTACACAAACATCTGTGTGTTCACACACACACACACACACCACAGCTCAGGATCTTATATCATCAGACATCTGTGTGGTTTAACGAGGAGGTCCCTTAATGCCATAAGCATCAGTACTGTAATGTTACCGTTATCCTGTAAAATAAGTAAATAAACAAGAATTATTATTATTAAAATAATTTATCTCAAAATAAATTCCTTATTTTGTTTAACATTTTAAGTACTAAAAATAATAATAGTAATTATCGTTATATAATTTAATTACAATAGTAATATTTCTTTTTAAATGTAATACTTTATTTCGTAATAATAATATTAATAACAATGATAAATGACAATGACAATTATCATTATTGTTATTATATTTATATATATTTATATATTTTGTTTAATATAATTCTTTCATAACTATAATCATATATTAGTAATATTTCTAATTTGTTTCATATTTTACAATTTAATGATAATAATTATTAAATACTCGATTACATATCTCTTAAAAATATAAATGGTACAATCGTAATATTCCTTATTTTGTTTAATACTTTTATTTAGTAACAATAATCCTCATATAACAATAATTTTAATTACTATTATTATAATAACATTTTGTTTAATACTTTTATTTAATAATAACAACAATAATAATAATTATTAATATTATATTTTATATTACAACTTATTCCGTTTAATTTTTTTTTTAATCTATTTAGCGGTTCATTGTTTTCAGTAGTGTAAAAATACCTTACATATGGTTATGAATATGATATTGCATTTCTGTCAACAGATCCTCCTTAATATGACACAGGTGGACTCTGTAAGATTGACAGCTAGTGGTGGAAACTGGAACTGCAGTCCCAATTCAAAATATCTGAAATGCCCATTACTCCCGCCTCCACGCACTCGACGCTCACGCAACAAGAACAAACGCAATTGATGGTGAAAATTGGCATTCCAACTCGGAAAACAAACGTAAAATACCTGTCGCTCTGACGGTGAGGTTCTCCTCCTGCGTTTTGCACGTGAGTGTCGGTTTTTCGCCGTCGCCGTCGACCACAGGACCCGTGTGAGACACCCTGATGGTGGGAACGCAGTCGGGCTCTTCGTCCTCAGGAATAGGGTTGTACCAAATCTCGCCCTCGTCGTCGGCGTCGTTGTCGTCGGCTAGCCGGGGCCTGAGAACGCTCTGCTGGAGCCAGTTGCGCTTTTTGGAGACAGTGATGTGGTTGAACGGTGCAAACAGGTCTCGCGGATACACACCTGACGACCCGGCGACACACTCCATCGGTGCTATGAAAGAAAAAAAACGCAAAACGTCACAAAAGAAACTTGGAAGTAGCGCTAATTTAAATGACTTCTCTATGATTAGCACATCATGCAAGTGCGTACGGTTAGAACAACAGTGCATAATCAAACTGACATTAAATATATTATATGGGTGGAATATGAGTTTAAATTAATTAAGTGAAATTAATTTAAATGAATCTGTGATTAGCACAAAAACATGCAAGTCCATCCGGTTTGATCAAGCGAAATATATATATATATATATAAAAATCCGATTGCTATATCTTTCAGTAATGATAAAGCTGATATAAAATATAAGTATTAGATTAATAAAACTTAAACTAAATTAATATTAGAAATTTTGCCATGGAATAAGTTGAAAGTACTAAAATTACTAGCTGAAATAAAAAATACAAACAATTTAGGAAATATTTAACACAAAACGAAAACTAAAACAAACTAATGAAATCTGAAAATAAAAAACTGTGTATCCACAAAACCTTCAGCAAACTAATAATATTTGCAACCAGTGTTGTTCTCAATAAACTAAATTACTAAAAAACATTGTTGTTAATTGAATAATGCTGAAATGAAACATAATAGGGATGCACCGATATGAACATTTTTACCGATACCGATAACCGATAATTCTCTATATTTGAAAGCTCATAACCGATATGTTGACCGATAACAAATTTTTATATAATTTTTGAGAGCCTTATTACAAAAACATAAGTTTCTCCATCATAAGCCACGTCCCAAACACACAATTATGATGATTTTACCGATATGACAGATCCAGACGTTCCTGCTATTGTTCTCGCAGATCCATGACATTCAAAGTCACATGACATTCATATGCAATATGTACACTACCATTCAAAAGATTCAGATTTAGTTTCTAATGCTCATCGGTAGACCATAAATGTGCATTCGTTAATGCACCGGTGAGACTCGAGAAACTAGAATATCATGCAAAAGTTCATTTATTTTAGTAATTCAACTTACTAATATAAGAAACTAATATATTATATAGACTCATAACATGCAAAGTGAGATATTTCAAGATATTTCAGAACTTTTTTTGTTCTAATGTTGATGATTATGACTTACAGATATGAAAACCCCAAATTCAAAATTAGAATATTATAATCTATAAGTCACAATCATCACAATTATAACAATTAAAGGCTTGAAATATCTCACTTTGCATCGTGATCTATATTTTAAACAAACTAACGTTGATTCTCAGTTCATCCTGAATCCTTCAGCTCTACTGTACGTGTGAGTGTGTGTGTGTGTGTGTACGTGTGTGGGACGTGATTTACGGACGAGATTAAGTCTTGCTGTGACATGCTACGGTAAATATGGTAGTGATGTGCATTATCACGTTTCTCAATCTCATTTCCAGACAGTTTGACTTGAAAACAGTGTCAGTGTATGATCACAGATGCTGGAGTGTGTGTCTGTTTATGATCATAGATGCTGGAGTGTGTGTCTGTTTATGATCATAGATGCTGGAGTGTGTATCTGTGTATGATCATAGATGCTGGAGTGTGTGTCAGTGTATGATCATAGATGCTGGAGTGTGTGTCAGTGTATGATCACAGATGCTGGAGTGTGTGTCAGTGTATGATGATCATAGATGCTGGAGTGTGTGTGTCGGTACAGTTGAAGTGCCCCAGACTGAAGCATGTGAGTCCGCTCTTATGTAAGCAGGATTTGAGCTCTCGATAAGCTCTTTAACGGATCTTTCCTCCTCGGCTGATTCTCCTGTGGAGACTCATGGAGACCCGGAGAGGAAAAACAAGGTGTCAGCGTCGATCTGAATCACACACACCTCGAGTTTAAAAACACACACACAATATGTAAAATTTTACCAATACCTATAATTCTTCATATTTTAAAGCCAAAACCAATAATTCTTCATATTTGAAAGCCGATAACCGATTATTCTTTATATTTGAAAGCAGAAACCAAGGATTCTTTATATTTGAAAGCCAATAACCAATAATTATTCATATTTGAAAGCAGAAACCGATAATTTTTCATATTTGAAAGCTGAAACCGATAATTCTTCATATTTGAAAGCAGAAACCGTTAATTCTTCATATTTGAAAGCCGATAACCGATAATTCTTTATATTTAAAAAGCAGAAACCGATAATTCTTTATATTTAAAAAGCAGAAATCGATAATTCTTTATATTTGAAAGCAGGAACCGATAACTCTTCATATTTGAAAGCAGGAACCGATAATTCTTTATATTTGAAAGCCAATAACCAATAATTCTTCATATTTGAAAGCAGAAACCGATAATTCTTCATATTCAAAAGCAGAAACCGATAATTCTTCATATTTGAAAGCAGAAACCGATAATTCTTCATATTTAAAAGCAGAAACCGATATTTCTTCATATTTGAAAGCAGGAACCGATAATTCTTTATATTTGAAAGCCAATAACCAATAATTCTTCATATTTGAAAGCAGAAACCAATAATTCTTTATATTTGAAAGCCAATAACCAATAATTATTCATATTTGAAAGCAGAAACCGATAATTCTTCATATTTGAAAACAGAAACCGATAATTATTCATATTTGAAAGCAGAAACCGATATTTCTTCATATTTGAAAGCTGAAACCGATAATTCTTCATATTCATATTTGAAAGCCAGAAACCGATATTTCTTCATATTTGAAAGCTGAAACTGATAATTCTTCATATTCATATTTGAAAGCCAGAAACCGATAATTCTTCATATTTGAAAGCAGAAACCGATAATTCTTTATATTTGAAAGCCGAAACCGATAAAAAGTTCATTGAAATTGAAATATTGAGTTAATTAAGAAGATTAATTTAATAATCAGAAACTCAAAATAATACATTATCTGAACCACAAACCAAATAAAAGTTGATTTGACAGAAGAAAGTATTTTTTAAATATACTTGAAAAAGTAATCTGATTACTTAACTCACGTTACTTGTAATGAGTTACACACAAGCCTAAAAACAACGTCAAGACTTCATCAATGAGCGCTTTAAACTGATGAAGGAACCCGTTTCCAGAGCATCCATCCACACCGCGAGACAGAGAAGCGCTTCAGACGCTGTTCCGCTGCGGGGTTCGGGTCATTACGGAGTGTGTGTGAGGTGTGTGTGTGTGTGCGATCGAGGTTATCGAGTTAAAAGCTCAGCTGTGAATGCCGAGACTCAGTTAAAGGGTCTTTCATAACGGAGGACAAGCTCTCACACGCAGAGAATTCCAGCCAACACACATTTACTGCCTTCCTCTGAATATTTACACACACACACACACACACGTGCACATCAGACGCACAAACAAGCGTGAACTTTAGACACTTCTAAATATGGAGCAGCAGCGTATTCAGTTACAGAAGCCGTAACTCAAGGGAGTCGGGAAACAATTACACACACACACACACACACACCACACAGCGGGAGAAACAGATCAGGAGCCAAACGAAACACTTCCGGAGAAGGACGATCCAATAAACAACTAGAAACACATTTGGACACTTTTCACATATTTAAAAGTCCTGCAGAGAACAACCCAAAGCTCCTGCGAGTAAAGCTCGTGTAAAAGTGTGTTTCTTTGCTAAACTCGTGCTTTAATGCATTCTGGGAGCTTTGATCGAGTAAACGCCGCTGTTATCCGAGTTTTCCCATAATTCCCGAATCCTCTTTAGATCCCGATCTATCGTGCGCCACATTCACATTCAATCCTGTTATGATGTCATCGCCAGCTCCGGCCAATCAGCTCGCGGTAACACACCGGCCACAATGTTGCTGACAAATGTGGATCTCATATAGAAATATTTTACTTTAAAATCAAAAGAAATAGGCCTAGTATTTTACATAATGTTTTTTTTTTCCAATTTTTTGTTGCACTGTGATGTTATTTACTGCACTTTATTACTAAAATGCGTGATTTTAGAAGTGAATTATAATACACTGTGTGAGCACACACACAATGCCTACTGTCAAGAAAATGTCCAAATGCAAATAATATTAAAGATACACAACAGGTCTCGTTTTCCTTCAGCAAAAGATCATTTCTTCGTTTTTCTTTTTGAATTAGGGTTAAAATATTTTTTCCTAATGTTACGTAATAAATCAGAGCACACACACTCCCTGGTGACATTAGTCCAGTGCACTGGTTGAGATCTCACACACACTCTAGTAACATTAGTTCATTCATTGCACTGGTTGACATCTCACACACACACCTACAACTGGAATAACCGGCGGATAACAGAACACACTAATCCCAGTTTAACAAATGTGTAATGTGTCTTCTGTAATCCTGCATTCATGCCCTCGGGAACACACAGCAAACAAGTGAAACCACGGCCTTGGCATTCCAAATATTCCCTCCCTGGGGCTCAGTGTGTGTGTGTGTGTGTGTGTGTGTGTGTGTGTGTGTGTGTGTGTGTGTGTCCCGCTGAAGAAGAATCTCTGGAGAGCAGCTCCCTCTGGGTAAACACACACACACACACACACACACCTATTGGAGAATATTAAGAGTAATGTTGACAAATAATGTGTGTGTGTGTGTGAGTGAGTGAGAGAGAGAGAGAGAGAGAGAGAGAGAGTTATATCAACAGTTGTCTCCTCAAAACAAACATTCCTCCCCGCCACACACTCCAGTCTAAATGAACCATCAACACCAAATCATGTTTTACTCTCAGCCGGTGCTCCGGATTAAAGACACGATAATGTGATTCTCAGAGTCAGAAACAAAGTGTGTGTGTGTGTGTTAGTAAAGAGCAAATATCTAACATGCTCGTGTTACGAGGAAAAACCCGACACCAGTTACAGAAACACCCGGTTAGGAGAGGGCCGAGGCTCGGGCTCCGCGTACCTGCTTTCGGCCTCACGGAGGATCCCGCGATCCGGTGCTTCATCTCGGTCGAGAGCACGCGCCCTTTCTGCATCCACTCCTGCATCTTGTTCACGGTCACTCCCGGGTGTTTGTGCGCGGGACCGTCGCGGCACCGGCGCGTGCCCGGTGTTGTCGTGGGGACTCCCGTAGGGTTCGGGGAGACCAGTTCGTGAACCGATTCAACCGGAGGATCCGCGCTTCGTAACGAGTACGTGACCCGGCTATCGCTCACCGAGCGCTGGAGAACCGGTTCACTCCCGGTCTTCAGAATATTCTCCAAACTTCTGCTCTCCGTTAAACCGAGAACCGTAAAGAAGCGCCCGCTAGATACACCCGAGCTAAGGCTACTCGAACTGCTGTCGTCCTCCACGAACCCGTTAACGTTATCCTCAACCGGACCGTCGAAGCTGATGTTTAGCAGCAGATAATACGCTTCTTTTAACTGCGACTTCAGTCGGGTCGTCTCGAGCGCGGTTTTGTTCGTTATTTTCTCAACTACGTGTCGCTCGTTCGCGTGATTTTGAACGTACGGTTCGTAAAATGGCAGAATTTGGTTATCATAATAATCGTCGTCCTCGCTGTCGACCGAGTGGTGTCGAGGGGCCCCGGGGGCCACGGATAGTTCCAGCTCGGTGGGGAAAAAAGTCGGGCTTTGAATCCTAAAATCTCCGCGATATTCCAACGCACTCTGTAAAACTTGGATTAAATCGCTTTCCTGGATATTTCCGTCTAAATAATCAAACATATCGCGGGGTTTCGGGTCGCCCGTGCTACTGATCTCCCCGGACTTTTCCTCGTGTAATGTAACGTTTGTTTGTTTACGCGTCTGATCTTGACCATCTGTTGGTTTTAATGCCTCTGTTTGGGGTTTCGTATCGCAACTGCCGAAGCCTATCGAGTCTCCGATCGTGTGGAAGCGCTTCGGTTCGGCTGGATCCGAGACCCCGGGAGCTGGGCCCCTGGTCCGGTGCGAGTCCGGCTCTCGCGACCCCGGTCCGGTTCTCATCTCACGTGATAAATAATAATCTCTGTCTGACTGCGTTTGAGAAACTTTTTCTTTACCTTCTCTCGCCCGGTTCGCGTCTTTCCCTTTGGGTTTCTTGCCCCTGAGTTTGGCTAGAATTGTCCTCCGCAGAGGATCAGCCATCGGTACCGATCCGGTCCTCCAGCGTTAGTTCCGATCAGCGGCGCTCCTCAGCTGAAGTGACCGAGCGAGAGGCGCGTCTGAGCGGGCAAGAGAGTCCGACACACCGCGGTCTGAGCGAAGCTCCATGATCCACTGAAATCAAATTACACACACACACATTCTCTCTCTCTCTGTAAATAGTTCAGATAGTTTCTGTGGGGGTTAAAGGTTAAGAGGCGGAGCTCAAACACACATGCAGCCTGGATCTCTCCACTAGCTTGCTAAGGCTATTCCACACTGGGTTACACTTCATTTAGGTGTCATTATAACAGTGTATGCTAATTATATATTTAAGTACATACATAAAATGCCGTTCTTTCTTTTTATTTTTGTCTTGTTTCCAGTCCAAATATCTAAAAAATACTTAAATCAAGATGCATTAGCTTTTTTCCCTTTGCCAGTGGCAGTGTTTTGTTTATTTTTGTATGGTTTTATAGCCTATATTTTTTTGAGTTTCTCTACACTTACCACATCCTAGAAGCTTGCTATTTAAAATTTTACTTTAAGAAATATGTAATAACTTTAAACTATAATTATATTTATTAGGGCTGTCAAACGATTAAAAGTTTGCGTGGGTGCACTGTGTATAATTATTTTATAATACACACACATGCATGTATATTTAAGAAAAAAATATTATTTAAATATAAAATATTTATATATAATATAAATTATATATAAATCTATATACATTGTATACATGAAAATATTTCGCATGTGTGTTGTAGCATAAGTTACAACAACACATGTTTAAATATTGGTTTAACTCGTCAAAATAAGTTAAGCAATTTGCAAAAAATATATATTGTTATTCAAACTCATTTTTTTAAAGTCAGTTCAATGTAATTAAAAAAAATTGATTTTTTTTTTAAATTCATAATAAAGTTATTAAGCTCGACATTCTTCTTAGAGCCGTCAATAAATCTGTAGGCTATTAATTTATGGGCTAGTCACACGGACGTGTTTATAGGATAACGATCAGGCCTGTTTAAACAGACGATTCACACTAATAGCCTGATTATGTCTCAATAGGATAATCATAATCATCACATATATCCCATCCGCTCCTCGGGGGAAAGCCATTCGCTCTCTCTCATTCATATTCATATTCATCTTCATCTGCTGGTTATGAGCGAGTCGAAGCACGTCTGGGAATGATGTCTTTATCTGACCGGTAAATCTCAGATCCTGTGAAACTGACTCATGTTTTAGAGAATCCCTTATTTATAATCACACGAACAATAAATGCAATCTTTCATACGTTTATCATGTTCTGTATCTGAACAACAGCTCAAACATCAAATAAAGGTTTAATTAAATCAAAAAGAAATTACCAAAGATGGATATATACTGTAACAAATGTTACAAACATTAAAAAATAACTTTCATTTTCATATTTTCACGTTTACTCTATTTCCCTGAATTGATCCTATATACTGTACGTACACAATAAGATATTATATAATCATTAATTAGATTGAAAATAACCTGACTGTCATGAAATGTTTTTGTATATTTATATTTGAATCTTCATATTAGTTAATAGATTATATATTATTTATATAAATGATCAATAAGTTGCGAAAACACATTTAAACATTGCTTTAACTCATCAAAATAAGTTATTCAAACTCATTTTTTAATCTATTTCTTCTCACATCTGTTCACACTGACTCCAGCAGAGGTGTTGTTTATGACTTATATAATCAATCATAATTGATTGTTTATTATTTAGGAATAGAAATACCAATATGTCCAGAACTTCAACTCAAAGTTTGTGTTTTCTGTCATGATGTCAGATCTGGAACGGTCCCATCATGCACTGGGGCGCTCTGCGTTCTTCAGGAAGAGTGTTTTTGCAAAGGCAGATTGAGGAGAAGATTATCATATTCAGTTATGAAGCCAGTGGGACATTTACAGGACAAAAAAATATCCCAGAACCCACCCCTCCCACACACACACACACACACACACACACACACACACACACACACACACACACACACCTCTTGTCGGAGCATCTGTGTTCATGTCACAGCCTGCAGCGGAAACACAAGTACTGAAAAACAAGGAGCATGCGAGAGTGTGTGTGTGATGGGTAGGTTTAGGGGTCGGGTTAGTGTGTGTGTGTGTGTGATGGGTAGGTTTAGGGGTCAGGTTAGTGTGTGTGTGTGGGTGTGTGTGATGGGTAGGTTTAAGGGTCAGGTTAGTGTGTGTGTGTGTGTGTGTGTGTGTGTGTGTGTGTGTGTGTGATGGGTAGGTTTAGGGGTCGGGTTAGTGTGTGTGTGTGTGTGTGTGTGTGTGTGTGTGTGTGTGTGTGATGGGTAGGTTTAGGAGTCAGGTTAGTGTGTGTGTGTGTGTGTGTGTGTGTGTGTGTGTGATGGGTAGGTTTAGGGGTCAGGTTAGTGTGTGTGTGTGTGTGTGATGGGTGGATTTAGTGGTCGGGTTAGTGTGTGTGTGTGTGTGTGTGATGGGTAGGTTTAGAGGTCAGGTTGTGTGTGTGTGTGTGTGTGTGTGTGTGTGTGTGTGTGTGATGGGTAGGTTTAGAGGTCAGGTTTGTGTGTGTGTGTGTGTGTGATGGGTAGGTTTAGAGGTCAGGTTTGTGCGTGTGTGTGTGTGTGTGTGTAATGGGTAGTTTTGGGGGTCAGGTTAGTGTGTGTGTGTGTGTGTGTGTGTGTGTGTGTGATGGGTGGTTTTAGTGGTCAGGTTAGTGTGTGTGTGTGTGTGTGTGTGTGTGTGTGTGTGTGTGAGATGGGTAGGTTTAGAGGTCAGGTTTGTGTGTGTGTGTGTGTGTGTGTGTGTGTGAGATGGGTAGGTTTAGAGGTCAGGTTTGTGCGTGTGTGTGTGTGTGTGTGTAATGGGTAGTTTTGGGGGTCAGGTTAGTGTGTGTGTGTGTGTGTGTGTGTGTGTGTGATGGGTGGTTTTAGTGGTCAGGTTAGTGTGTGTGTGTGTGTGTGTGTGTGTGTGTGTGTGTGTGTGTGTGAGATGGGTAGGTTTAGAGGTCAGGTTTGTGTGTGTGTGTGTGTAATGGGTAGTTTTGGGGGTCAGGTTAGTGTGTGTGTGTGTGTGTGTGTGTGTGTGTGCAGAGGAACATCTGTTTCTCCAGCTGTCTGTTCTCCCTCCTCATTGTTCCCTGACTCTCTCTCTCTCTCTCTCTCTCTCTCTCTCTCTCTCACACACACACACACACACACAAACACACACACACACCAGCAGCTCAATTTATGGGTTCGATCCGCACCCCTTTTCTCAGGACGTAAATTATCCGGGACTCGCTCTGCCGACTGGATGAGGATGAAGAGACTGACACACACACACACACACACACACACACACACACACACACACACACACTGGATCAGAGACAGAGACTGAGTCAAATCCTCCAGCTCTTGAAGTCGTCATTTCCTGTTTCTCATCATCACTATGGTAACGGGACAGTCGTCATGACGCCTCGATCCCCCCGACGACCAGTCTGCCTTCAAAGAACACGCATAATAATACCCAAGCCCATTCATAACACAGAAACGTGAAATATATGAATTATGTATACGTCTCCATAAAAGGCCAATCGATCCAAAACACCTCCACAGATTTCCCATGAACTCAAGCGAAGCGGCGTGTTCGTGTGTGGATCACATCTACAGGTCAATCATTCACCAAATGCACAAATATCACCATCAGCAAATAAACCAACGTCACCCAACAGCAGTGCAGAGCCGGGACAGCAAAACACAAGCAGAAGATGAAGAATATGAACATGTGATGGGTGCCAGATGTTGAATATGATCGGCATGAGGAATCAGGAGTACCACGTTTAATTATTCCTCTTACGGTTCAAAAGTTATAACCGCTTGAAAAGTGAATATTTGAACTGGTGGTGGCGCTATAGAGTTGGTCATAGAGACTGCAAATTTGGTCATATTACTATTCTTGACAATCACTACAAGTGTGGCAAATCTGTTCTGTTCATAGAGCTGCCATTGACTCGCATGCAGGAGAACACTAATAAATATCAGCGCTCGAGCAGTCTAGAAAGAGATATGTTTCAGAAAGATATTATGTTTTATTTAGCAAGCCTATTACACTCTCAATCAGAGATGGAAATGACCATTTGCAGCCAATACAGGAAATTTACCTTATTTGGATTTTAAGTTTTTTAACAGTTAGGGTTAGTAGTTCCATTTTTTAGATACATCAATGTACTCATCGCAAAGACAATCATGGCAGCTCGGACAGACACCGCCTGCCAATTTTCAAGTCAACCGTAGAATAGTTAAGCCGTTTTCCTGTTTTTTTTTTTTTTTTTTGTTATAGCGCCACCAAGTGGACAGTCGGAGAATGAACTCTTTCACAGGCGTGCTGCGTTTGGTGAAAATGAAAATATCTCATTCCCTTCACGAGCCATTTTAGTAAAAGTGGCTCCTCCCACTTTGAACAATTTGGCGGCTTCACTTTTTCGAACAATTTTATAAACCGAAATTTCAATTTGTAATTTTTTTTATAACTATTGACTGACTTTCTTTCTGCACTGTTTTGGTTCCGATCGGGCCCGAAAACTACGATTAGCTCACAAAAGTAGGTTCTTAAGAAATCTCACATTTACAATAGCGGTTACATCATACATCTATTTACATCTTCAAAAAAAACTCGGTGTGATTTATAAGCTGTTTTCTTTGTGGGGACTAAAAATGATTGTCATCTTTGTGCGGTCAAAGCTGAATTTATCATCATTACTCCAGTGTCACAGGATCCACATATAAATAACTGTTCAACACTGATAATAATCATACATGTTTGTTGGTCATCAGATCCTCATATTAGAGTGATTTGTGAAGGGTCATGTGACACTGAAGACTGGAGTAATGATGATAAATTCAGCTTTGATCACAGGAATAAATTACACTTTAAAATAAATGAAAACAGCACAATTATTTTAAATTGCCACAGTAATAT